TGTTTTTGAATTGTATCTCAGATCTCCAAGCAGGCTTCTGGGCTGGTCTAAAATTAAGCATCTGATGTGTTCTCAGCAAACTGAGCAGTAACAGCTCTCTAAAAAACCTTTGTGTCATCTCTGGGTCTCCGGCCTCCTTATGTGTTTCCATGTATTTGCCTGTTGGATGTTCTGTTGCTGCAGTTTTATTCAGGGTCTCAGCTGTTTATTGATAGGCGTGCCAGGTGTGCCAGGAGCTGCTGTCTCTGTACCTCTGCAGGAGTCTTGTCAAGCTCTTTAACATGAAAAACCAGCTCAAACTGGCACACTGGTACACATAACACATAAGTGCACTCTGGATTCAGTAAGGTCAGTGACACATCAGCGAAGAGCGTTTCACAGTATCGATTTCCCTCTGTTTGTGATGTGGACAGGACTCTAAAGATGTTTTTTGGACTGGGTATATTTACAGTACAGGTCCTGTATGGTGTGGTGTTGTCATAGACTAAATGAACAAAAAGTACATAGAATGTACTGGATCAACACGTATTCTAAATGAATAGCAAATAAAACACAATTTGATACAACTAACAGTTATCAGACTAAGGATGTCTTGAATAAAAAGACTATTTTTGAAGATGCTCTAGGTGATTTTAAGGACTTCACTCAGCTGTTTTTAGATTTTTGATACCAGCCTTTTGTGTCTGTTGATTTCCTCTCGGAGAAGGTAGATGCAGCAGTGGATCCAGTAAATGGGGCAGTCAGGCTGTGATTTAGAAGCTTCTCTACGGAGTGTTTGTAGAGTTTAAAAGCTGCTTTCGTTAACTGTCCTGTTAGACTATTATTTTTTTCATTTACAACTCTGTGTCAAGTTGCAGACCTGCCCTGTAAGTGTGAAAACGGACAGGTAAAGTGACTGTCTTGTCTGAAATGAGGACACAGACCTGGTGAGGATACATGTCTGTCCCTTGCCGTGCCAACAGGACACAACGTCTCCAGCTCAGCCTGTGGTTAGAGAGGGAGAGAGACCTCCTAAGGGGTGTTAACAGTCTGTCTTTTAAGGTGTTGGATGAGGGAATGAGAATGTGCTCTGCTCTCTCTGGGGCTGTGCTCTCCTGCTGAGAGCTAATTAAAGTTGGGTTCTGTACTGTGGACAGTGTGTATGGTGTCCACTGTGTGCTGTGGACAGCGTGTCTTCTGTGTTTTGGGTGTCCTCAGTGTGCTGTGGGCAGTGTGTCCTCTGTGTGTTGTGGACTGTGTATCCTTTTGTTTTGAGTGTCTTCTGTGTGCTGTGTTTTGGGTGTGCTCTGTTTGCTGTGGACACTACCGAACATCGAGGATATCTACTCAAGAAGGCCAGGTATCTATCCTTAGGGATGCCAGTCACCCTAATCACAATTTGTTCTCTCTACTACCATCCGGGAAGCGATATCGAAGTAAACAGACCAAGACCACCAGGTTTCGTAACAGCTTCTTTCCACAGGTAGTAAGACTGCTAAACAGCCAACCACAGCAGACACCTGCAGTTACCCAAACGGCAATGTCCTTGAGCTGACAGGTGCACCGGCGCCCTCCAGTCACTTGCACTCTCAGGACACATTCAAAGAGTGCTAAATACCTCCTTCCTTGGGTATTGTAAATTGCAGTCGTGTCATTTATTGAATCCTAATGTTAACCTAATCCCTATAAAAATCGAATCCTGTCCTTCTACTTTTCTATCCCTCTTAACAAGCGCGCTGACAAAGCATTTCATTGCTGACAACACCCCTGTATGCTGTACTGTTCGTGCATTGATAAACAAACCTTGATTGATCGATTGATTGTTCTCTGTTTGCTGCCCAGCACGAGTCTATGTGTAGTTCCAAAGCCTTAGTGGGGGTGTGTTTCTCATTGCGTGTTGCAGAGCCGTCTGCAGGAGTGCGTTAAGCTCCTGGATGATTTCAGATGTGGAACGCTGCCCCCTGGGGTCTCTGATGCACAGGTAAGTTCCCCGCTGTGCAGAGTCTATTGGAGCACTCTCCAGCTCGCCACCTGAAATGGGGTTGTTTGCTTAGTTGTTTTGTTTTATGAAGAAGCTGCGGAGTATAATGTCATCAGGAGATCTAGTTTTACATTTCGTCTTAGCTTCTCTTCAGCTTATTCGTTTGCACAGTAGAGCAAAGTAGAAAATTTTTTTTCTGCATCTGCTGTAACCATGTGACTATTTCTAAGAAGACATACAATACACCAGTTACAAGAAAAAACCCCAAACAAACCAAGGTCTCTGTCCCTGGCTGTATCCAAGCTGTCGGGGAGTAATGAGGGAGCATTCATGTCCAGGCTTGTCCTTAGGTACAGAGCCTGCTGTTATCCAGCCATTCAGAAATGCATGACCGTGGTTCTGCTGTCGAGTCTAAGCTAAGAGTTTCCTCAGTTTTTGGTGAGGAGTGCTAATTTTGTTTCCTTTTAGTCTGCAATATGGCTGCAACACAAAACTTGCTTGTGCATATTTTTTTGAGAAAGGTGTGTTTTTACAGCAGCTTAGTTTGGGGTTACTGAAAAGCAGTTCCTGTTACGCATTAGTTTACTGGGGTGTGCCTCAGGTGTCTGACAGGTTAGAGGTCAGTGCTCTGAAAGGTGAGAAAAGGGCTTCCAGTGTGGAAGTGATCTGTCATACGAACTTCAATACCACAAGAAATGCTGCCCTACATAGGGGCCCATTTGTCCTATCTGGGTGGTTTGGTGGTTTGGTGGTTAGTAGTTAAATCAATCCCAGGATCTCATCCAGTCGTGTCACCTACAGCCCTTCTCTTAAAGGAGCACCAACTGTTCTTCGTTCTAAATGCGCTTTCCTGTGCTCTCCTCTTGTGCTCTCCTCTTGTGCCTTCTGGTTTGTGCTTCACTGTTTATTCTGTCACCATGGAGACAGGGCTCTCGATACAACCAGAACAGTGACACTGTGACCCCCCACGCTGCTGAGAGTCCAGCAGGCCCCTTGACTGTAAAGGGAAGCCAGCTGTTCATGGGACTTGGCTCAAGAAAAGCAGTGTTTAGAAGTGTTTTATTTAACAGTTGGTTTACCTTTCTACCTGTGTTTTTAAGCATAGTACCAGTATTAGTAAACCATTTTTAATGTATTAGAATCAGTTGTGTCACTGTCAGAAACTTCCCTTGCAGTATTCCGACGAACCAAATGACTCAGAGAAACTGTCGCATACAGCCGGATTTTCAGAAAAAGTAACATAAAAAGTATAATTGTTACATTTTTAAGCCTGATTAAAGTGGCTGTATTGCTTATTTTTATATGTTCAGTGTCATACTCTATACATTTTATACAAAGTGTGTATTAATTAGTAATTCCAGCTTAAACCAGGTTTTACCAATCACTTTTAGACCTGGCTCTTATTTTGGAGCTGTTGCTGAGCAAAGCTGGCGAAGGGGCGTTGGGGACAGGGCTGGGCTCGAGGGGATGGTGCTGGTGTTGGTGATGTGGCGGGGTGCGGTTTTGTCTTTATGCACTTTTCAGTCTGACTGATCAGTTCCTCTCTGTGCTCACCACTCTCTCCCTCTTGTGTGTGTCTCTTCAGCTCTGGGAAGCCCAGAAGATCAAGCAGGTGAGATGGCGACGCTGGCCAGAGTGTAGCTCAGCACATTTACCCAACTTTACTGTACACAAACGTCAGTGTGTTCTGAGATCTCCAGATCTCAATCTGCTCGAACACTTGTGATGTGAACTCACGAAGGCTGTTGTCAGGCCTAAAGCACAGGGTCTGAAGGAGCTGGATCAGCACTGTAGAGGAGGTGTCCTTTCAGTGTAGTTTACAGATGCTTACTAAATACATCTTGGTAGCCTCTGTACTTAAATTATTTATGATAAGAACATAACAGGTTTACAAATGAGAGGAGGCCACTTGGCCCATTGAGCCTGGTTGGCTGTAATAGATCCAAGGGAAGATGCCAGGGTACCGACTTCAACAACATAGCTGGGTAATTTCCCACAAACCTCTGTTCTGAGTTTGACATATTCAAAACCATGGTCAGTAGAGGGGTTTGTGGCGTTAGGGTCTATCGATGATGATTTATTTATCAAAGATAATTTTTTTAAATCAGTGATATTTCTTTTTTTACACAAAACATTTAACATCAACGAGAATTCTCATCACGCTATTTAGTAAAAGCATTCAGAATGGGCTCTTGATGATTTCCTGGGTCTTTGAATAAGACGACAAAGCCTGTAGTTTTGCTGCTGGGGATCTGGGAAGACCAGCAAAGGATTACAATAGACAGTGCAAGACCTAGCAGGAAAGCTAAGCCAACGACTTTCCAAACTTCCCTGGGAATTACAGTTTTAAGAAGTTGGGCCGACACCGTACACCTGGAGAGAGTGTTCTAGTACACTGAGACAATCAAAAGTGCTATACGAATACATAGAAGTATTATTGGTATTACAAAATGCAAAAGTCATGTGGAAGAAAGGTTTATTTTAATATATCTGACATATCAGATGTTAATGGCTCGAAGTGCCCATTTGTATAGCACTAATAATATTATTCAACATGTCATTAGTGCCAGGAGTTAGTTTGCCTTTTGGCTAACGCAGATTGTAAGATGTTCCAAATTGGTGTGAAGTTTCTTTTCTCGTGAGTACTTGTCATTTTAACTATGCCTTGGTCTGCATTTGAGTTCATTATCTCGCTAATACCAGCTGTAATTGCAGGCAATCGTGCACCCCGATACAGAGGAGAAGATTTTCATGCCCTTTCGGATGTCAGGTACAGCACTTGTTAGGGTCACCTGTCAGGTTTGCTCTCTAATGAACTCTTTAGGAGGTTGATGACTTCAGTAAAATCATCATCAGCCCCACAGGTGGGTGGCTGCACTGGGGGTGGAAAAGTGTTAGTGTGACATGTCAGCCTATTATTCCTAGCAAAGCATACAAAATTCAATTATTTAATGGGATTTGAAGGCAATGTCAGATTATTATTTCTTAAGTGTTTTAAAAGTAAAACGAATCTTACAAATCCTGTTTACCCTAGAGTGTGCAAATCTGAGCAGCACGATTTAATTTCCAAACCGTGATTTTCACACGTCCAGCAATAGATATCAGATTCTTTGAAAGGTTCAAATGCTTTTTTTTCAGTTTCAAAGCAGCGGGTTCCATGTTTTCGAGCTGTGTTAGAGAGAGAGAAGGAAATGTTTAGTGGGCCTTAAAATGACTATCCAAAAAAACTATATAAAATGCTTTCTAGCTTTTTAAGGCTCTCCACTGCAGATGTGTTTTAATGTCTTGTAGTTATCCTTGTACACTGTGCTGTTAAAGCCGAGGAAGGCGGTTGTCAAGTGTTGACGACTCTTTTGTCTTTGTGTCTGCAGGTTATGTGCCATTTGGAACACCAATAGTAAGGATTTTTTCAGTATTCCAGTATTCATTTTTACTTTATTCCAGAAATGTAAAAAAATGAGCTATCTCATTAGCTTATAGTTGAACATGCTTTTAAATTAAATATTTTTTTTTGTTCACAGTATAGTGTGAAAAGTTTGTGTGTTTAGAAACAATAAGGAGCGTCTGACCTGTTTGAGACACTGCAGTGAAAGGCGCAGTCCACTTCCTTCAGTCCAGCCTCACTAAGTGTCCTCTACAGGGAAGACATTTTTTCCTGCTTTACTGATCTTTCCCGTGATTCTTTTAGGTGGTCGGCCTTCTTTTGCCCAACCAGACGCTGGCATCCACAGTTTTCTGGCAGGTAGGTTCCCGGGTTTTCCATCCTCGCCCACATGAGTGGGATATTTGTGTCTGTGGAAAACCACAGTTCTCAGTCTGGTTTTTGCACTTCGTCACACCGGAAGGCTGTGTAGTGACTAGGAGCAGGTGACTTTGCTCCAGCGGTGCCCAAAGTGGCACTGAGGAAGAGGTGGGGATGCCAGGGTGAGACCTGTGCTAACACTCCCTTTCTCCACAGTGGCTGAACCAGAGTCACAACGCCTGTGTGAACTTCGCCAACAGGAACGCCACCAAGGTACAGTGAAATCTG